TATATTATATATAATATATATATATATATATATATATATATATATATATATATATATATATATATATATATATATATATATATATATATATATATATATATATATTATATATATATATATAATATATATATATATATAATAATATATATATATATATATATATATATATAATATATATATATATATATATATATATATATATATATATATATATATATATATACGGCGATATGAATAAATAAACAAATAAATAGAAAATAAATAAATAAATAAACAAACAAATATACATACATCCATATCTCTCTATACATGTACTTATATTCATAAACACACACACATGTACGCAAACAGGCTCTCGGGCTATACATACATTCATCTCTCTATACATGTACGGATATATACATACACACATCTCTCCATACATGTACGTATATACACACACACACACACACATCTCTCCATACATGTACATATATTCATAAACACACACACATCTCTCTATACATGTACGTATATACACACACACACATCTCTCCATCCATGTACGCATATCCACAAACCTCCATACATGTACGCATATTCATAACAACACATCTCTCCATCCATGTACGCATCTCCACAAACACACACACGCACACACACACACGCCCGCACTGACAGCCTTTCTCGCGCCCAAAACAAAACAAAAAAGCCCGAACGAGTGTAACCGAATCGACGACGTAATTTCGCCGCGTAAATATCGGCGCGAGACATCCCCCCCCCCCCCGCCGCGTTCCAGGAACCGGAGATCCTCGGTTCCTGGAACGCGGCGCCCGAATTCGGTGTTGCCATGGTAACGCGTCCACCGCCCGCTCCTATCTCCTCTCGCCTCCTCTGTTTGTCTGAGTGTACGTGCGTGTGTGTGCGTGTGTGTGTGTGTGTGTGTGTGTGTGTGTGTGTGTGTGTGTGTGTGTGTGTGTGTGTGTGTGTGTGTGGTGTGTGTGTGTTGTCTTTCTCTGTCTCTGTCTGTCTGTCTGTCTGTCTGTCTGTCTGTCTGTCTGTCTGTCTGTCTGTCTGTCTCTCTCTCTCTCCTAACTCCCTCCGTCTGTCCGTCTGTTGCCTGTGTGTCTGTGTGTGTCTCTGTTTATCTCTGTCTCTCTCTCTCTCTCTCTCTCTCTCTCTCTCTCTCTCTCTCTCTCTTCCCTCTCTCTCTCTCTCTCTCTCTCTCTCTCCCTCTCCTCTGTCTGTCTTTGTTGACTGTTTATGTTCAGGTTCGTATCTTTTTTTATTCAACTTTCTATCTTTCCTTCTTTCTTTCTCTCCCTCTTTTACTTCGTCTTTCTGTGTCCATCTGTCTGTCTGAATATCTCTCTCTACTTCCCTCTCCCCGTCTCTCCCCATCCCTCCCTCCTCGTCACTTCCTTCCCTCCTTCTCCCTTCCTTCCCTCTCCCTCCATCCTTCGCCCCCTCCCTCCCTCCGTTCCCTCCCTCCCTTTCCCATTCCCTCCTTCCCTCCTCTTCTCCTTCCTCCTTCCCCCATTCCCATCTCCCATCCCTCCCTCCCTCTCCCTCCCTCCCCTCCTCCCTCCCTCTCCCTCCCTCCCTCTCCTCCCTCCCCCTTCCCTCCTTCCCTCCCTCCGCGCCGGCCCGTCTAACCAACACCTCAAAATAAATCCTTTGTGTATCTCGCGTCGGTGAGGCAATCAATGCTCTTATTACTTTCGACCGTTAGCTTTACGCCAGGGCGGAGAGAGGGAGGGGAGAGGGAGAGAGATAGGGAGAGGGAGAGGAGAGGGAGGGGTGGAAGGGGGAGGTGAGAGGGAGGAGGGGGGGGGGAGAGGGAGGGGGGAGGAGGGGGGGAGAGGGAGGGGAGGGGAGAGGGAGAGGGAGAGAGGGAGGAGAGGGGGGAGAGGGAAAGAGAGGGAGAGGAGAGGAGAGGTGGAAGGGGGGAGAGGGAGGGAGGGGGAGGGAGGAGGGGGAAGAGGAGGAAAGAGGGAGGAGAGGAGGAGGGGGAGGGGAGAGGGAGGGGAGAGGGAGGAGAGGGAGAAGGGGAGGGGAGGAGGGGAGAGGGGGGGAGAGGGAGGAGGGGGGGGAGGGGGAGAAGGAGAGAAGAGAGGGAGAGGGAGAAGTGGGAGGACGAGGAGTGTGGGAGGAGGGGGAAGAAGGAGAGAGGGAAGAGGGGGGGGAGAAAGAGAAAGAGAAGCGAAGGGGGGAAGAGGAAGGGGGGGGACATGAGGGAAATGAGGAAAGCGGAAGAGGAGGAGAGCAGAAGAGAGAGGCAGGTAGAGACGGGAAGGATGTGGTGAGAAGGGAGGGAGAGGAAGAGGGGGGAGGAGAGGGGGAGAAGATAAGCGAGGGGGAGAGAGGAAGTAGACAGAGGAAGAGAGGAGGCGGGGAGAGGGGAGTGGGAGGGAGGGGAGAGGGCGAGGAGAGGCAGGTGTCATGGCGCGTCTTCCAGAAAAACAGAGAAGAGACCAATCGAATATTTTTCTTCTCAAACTCCCTCCCTCTCCTTCCCCCTCCTCCTTCCCCTCCCCTTCTCCTCTCTCTCTCCCTCCCCCTCCCTCCCTCTCTCTATATATATACCCCTCCTCTTCTCTCTCAATCCTTATCTCCCTCTCTCCTTTCCCTTTCCTTTTCCCTCCCTCCCTTCCCCTACTTCTCTCTCTCCCTTTCCCTTTCCTTTTCCCTCCCTCCTCCCTTCTCTCCCTCTCTCCCTTCTCTCTCCTCCCTCCCTTCTTTTCCCTCCCTCCCTCCCCCCTTCTCTCTCCCCCTCTCCCTTCCCTTCTCTGCCCCTCCCCCTCCCTCTCCTCCCTTCCCTCTCCCCCCCCCTCCTCTCCCTCTCCCTCCATCCTCCCCTTTCTGCCCCTCCCTCCTTCCCTCCCTCTACCCTACCCCTCCTTCTCCCTCCATCCCTCCCTTCCCTCTCCCTCCCTCCCATGATCAATAGCGAGCATATACGGGCCGCCATACGGAGGGCGGCCGCCATAGACAGACCGTGGGCAGAGAGCGCTGGGTTAAGGCTCTTCCCGCTCTCTCTCTCTCTCTCGCAACCATTTCGAATGACACAATGGCTGTCGTTACCGCATTTCTGGCAAATATGCACGTCCTCCCCGCGCAACGTGGGACTCCGAACTTCCTGTTGCGCCTTGCCGGCATAATGGGAGCTCGCCCGACAATGGCGGCACAGTCGTCGCATAAATAAAAATGAGATTTTTCGTCAAAAGCGTCATTCAGGTCCGTCCGTGATTCGTGTGACCCAGCGCGCCCTCCACGCCTGCGCGCTCGGGACCAGACGGGACAGAATGTCGACTTCCTGAACCGCCATATGTATTCATATTTTTTCGCCTACGTCATGCCAATACTAAAAAGAGAGAGAGAGAGAGAGAGAAAAAAAAAGAAGGAAAAGGCTTTCATAGAGCGTCAATAACTTCCTGTGCAAATAAACTGTAGTTGCAAAATTTTGCTGACATCCCGTCGACCAAAAAATGCAAGTTCATTCAGCTGCCACGCGGGTTTTAACGGACCTCCAGGAAATCGCGCACAAAAATAATCATAATTTCTCAAATAATTGGTTAAATTACGTATCATCTACACCATACGCATATAAACATACTACCCTGTTTTAACTACGCACAATACATGAATAATTTAGCATCAGTATTTTCCCCTTCAACTATGCTTTACAGTCTGTACTCCCTTAACTATTATCTAATAACTTTAAATAACTTAACTACGCTCGCATTATAAATACCACCATTAATATTTTTTTTTTTTTTTTTTTTTTTCTTTTTTCTATGCACAAAATTATCTATCTCGGCCAAACAAAAAGTTTTTTTTTCTTTATTCATAAAATTATCATCAAAAAGTAACTACTATTCAAAATTTTTGTCCTTTTGAACTAAAATTACAATGACAACCACTACAACTTTTACTACCAACAACAACAATTATATTATCAATGAATAACGCCATTAACGTTACAAATAATACAAATAAAAATAACAACAAAACCACGCAAAATAAACAATAAGAACAACAACAGAATAACTTTAACATCAACAACAAAACTTAACCGTGAAAATATAATCATAATTACTATCAACGATAATGATAATAATAATAATAACAAGTGATAATGAATGATGACGATGATGATGATTATGATCAGGATAATGAAAATTATTGTAATAATAATAATAATAATAATAATAATAATAATAATAATAATGATAATAATAATATTGACAATAATAATAATAATGACAGTAATAATGATAATAATAACAATAATAATGTGATGATGATGATAAGAATAATAAATAACAATAATCATAATATCAACAATAGTAGCAATAATAATAATAATAACAATAATGATATCAGTAATAACAATAACAATGACAATAAAAATAATAATAGCAATATCAAAACAATAACATTAATATACCAACAATAACAAAATAATAACAAAAACTCCAACAAAACAAAAATAACAATAACACGAATATAACAACAATAACAATAACAAAAACAATAACAAAAACACCAACGAAACAACAACAATAACACGAATATACCAACAATAACAAAAACACCAACAAAACAAAAACAACACTAACCAACCAGCAATACCAATAACAACAACAAACAAAAACAAGAACACAACACACACAAAAAAACACTAACCAAACAGCAATTACAATAACAAACGATAAGAATAACAAGAACACAAATAAAAAAAACTAACCAAACAGCAATACCAATAACAAACAAAAACAAGAACACACAAAAAAAACAAAAATAACACTAACCAACCAGCAATACCAATAACAACAACAAACAAAAACAAGAACACAAAAAAACAAAAATAACACACTAACCAAACAGCAATAACAATAAAACAAACAAAAACAAGAACACACAAACACACTAACCAACCAGCAATACCAATACCAACAACAAACAAAAACAAGAACACACACAAACACAAAAAACACACCACCACATAACCACCTCACCCCACGCACTCGCCCGCAGCCCCGCACTCGACACACGCGCGCGGTCCAAGGAGACTCCCTCGGTTTATCGGC